ATTTACCAAAATTGGAGATGAAGGGCTGCAAGCTTCTTTTGTCACTGGTGCCTGCGTAAACATTAACCCTGGTGTAAATCAGGATTATCTCTCTGACCTCAACACAATTACTCCGTTTAAAAAAAAACTGGGGGGGGGAGAAACTGCTGATGAGTTTACACCTCTGTGTGCGGTCACGCTCGTTTTCACCATGTAGCAATCTTTCGGCACGGCAGGAGCAGCCGGCGGAGGATTTGCCGGTGCACGAGGAGGTGTTGCGCGGCCTCGCAGCCTGGTGCGCTCCCTTCGCTCGCCCGGGTGCGGTGACGCAGGGGAAGAGCCTGCCAGGAGCCGCCGTCCAGCTTACGCGGGCATGGTGCTGTGGCGATGCCGGGCTCTGATGCAGTTTCGTGCCATCCAAAGGTGGCTCTGCAGGCCGGGATAGGGCAAGGTTCAGAGGACAGCGTGATCCAGACAAGCTGGGCTGATTCTCGGGATTTGGTTCCATGTGTTTATTCAGTAGGAAGCGCTGCACTTGTTTGGTGTCTGGCTTTAGAAAGCATTTCGTGGTGCTGCTGTCACAGCCCCTTTGGCTGGTGTGGCAGCTTCCTTGGAGCCCATGGACAAGACTTTAGCCTTGTTTAGGCGCCGGGGTTGGTGACCCTGGTGCCGGCAGCCCGGGAGCAGGCAGGGAGCCCGCAGCGTGCTCCGGCATCAGGCAGGCAGAGCTGCACCGCGGCGGGGTCCGTGGGGAAGGGGCAGCCTGCGTGCCTCTGTGCGTTTCTGTGCCTGAACAGAGCCAGTTCTGCCCGAGACGCACCGAGGGCATCGCCTGCGGACACAGCCCGGCAGCACCCGAGGGGATGTGCTCTGGCAGCACGTCCTGGCAGCCTGCTGCCGCGACGGGCACGGTGACGCCAGCGCTTCGCCAGTGAACGCGAGCAGCTCCCCTCCTTGCGCTTGGTTCTTCCTCTGCTTGGTACAGCGATTCATCCCCGAAATGACTGACCCTCCCTGGCCCGCGCCGCTCCCGAGCGGTAACGAAACTTTCCTACCGGACAGGGGAGAAAACCCGGGGGGAACCAAGCGGCGCGGCAGCGCGTGGCGTGGCCAGGCTGAAAATCCCCCGCTGCC